TGTTTTGGGCGACACCTGACGGTTATGCAGTCTATATTGTCATTAGAATAATTGAAGCAAACGTGATTTGATATAGACCAACTTGTGTTTATAAAAGTGGCTACCCCTCCTCCACATTTTTTCTTAGAACTTTTTCTATCTTGTCGAAAAACTTTATATCCATTTAATGAAACTAGATTATCATCATAATGCTGGTACAGCCAAGTCTCTTGTATTGTTAAAACCCCAGCGTTTCGATAATCATTAGAATACATTAGGGACTGAAGATAATCCATTTTGTTTGACAGGGATCTACAATTAGTGCTAACGAGTTCAGGAACAGTCATTTGATTAATTTGTGTACGTTTCAGTGCACGCTGCCATCCACAGTGATGCTTTTTTCTCAATTATCGTGGATGACACAACGCAGTAGGTTGTAATGATTTTAAAAATGCGCGATTATAAATTATACGATTAGGACACATTATTGATAAACTAAAACAAAATTAAAAGAGCGAACCAAAGCAATTTTGCAAAACGTTGTAAGGTGGAATTTTTGGTAGCCCTATGTTCAAGCAGGCCGCCTCGGAATCAGTAGATACACAAAAGAAGGAATAGAGTAAAGCACAAAAAGAAAGCCAATGTTAATAATTTAGGTAGCTAAGTTTGTTTAAGAAGGAGTTCACTATAGAATACGAAATAAGAGAGAAATAAAAGAGCCTGAAATTATGTTATTAACAACAAAGCAATTCATAGGTTTTGCGCTTAACATTGTCTCTGTCACTTAGAACTCACTCTTAGAACACGGGCCAAGTATGGTATCGTTGAGTTCCTGCATTTAGTTGCACGAGCATGGATTATTTTATACTGATTTCTGGTTCTACTTGATGAGATACAAGGCGATAGTTGGGAATAGAAGGGGTGTTGGGGGTCGGAGAGTATGGTTTTAGACCATTTTTCGCATGTATTCAGATGCCTGTCAACTAATGTAGTGACGAGCTGACTGAGTTTTACACCACTGGTCCTACTAATTACCTCCAAAATCCTTCTTAGGATGGTGTAGTCGTTTTTCAGTAGCCCAGGAAAGAATAACGGGGAGCAGTAAAGTAGAATAGGTAAGATACAAGAGTTGACAAATTGTGAAAGTAGAGGTTGGGTGATTCCAGATTGTCTAAGTTTCTTAATGTTGTAGTAGGTTAGACAGAAAACTTTCGTAGAAATCGTTAGGATATGAGACGTCCAAGTAAGGTCGGAAGACAGAACTAGACCGAGGTATTTTGCACTTGACTTAGTTTCACTTTTAGTCCCCTCAATGCAACAGGCTTGATGAGTACTTACTAGTGTTTGTAGATCTCGTTTATGCCTAAAGGAGAAGTCAGTAGTCTGACATTTTGAGGGATTCAGCATGAGGCCATTTACTTTAGACCACTGATGGATGTCCGACAGGAAGCTATTTAATTTGAGACAGTCTGACTGAGACTTAACGGGAAGCGGAACAGTCAAGTTATCTGCATATTTGACGAAGTTGATTTCGTCTGAAATAGGTAAGTCATGTAAGAAGAAGGAAAAAAGAAACGGAGAGAGAAGAGCATCATGAGGAATTATTGATGAGTCATTCGTATTGCACGTGTTGGGTGTAGACTCGATGGGCAAGGATTCAATAAGACATCTACAGTTTTACATATAAGGAGAATACATTCAAGACCCTATGTAGTATTCCTAATAAAACAGCAGTAAGAGTGGCATTTAAACCTACAAACTCATTGAGGCAGGACAAGCTCTGTAGGTTAAAGGACTCAGTTGACCCAAATTAGACAGAACAATATAATTTACAAATACCTTGCAATGACTGTAGGTTAAGTTAACGATGTAGGTAAAACTAGTAGATAGGAGATAGTCAGATTGTCGGAACATAATTTAGTTAAGGTTAGAATGGTTGACCCCAAGAAGACAAGTAATTTAGAGAAAAGCTCAGAAGTAATTTAGGTAGGTGGAGAGAGAGACGGGTTGATTACTGAATCGTTGTTCATCGAGTCTAAACCCAACACGTGCAGTACGAATGACTATTCACTAATACCGGATATGTGGAAAACACTATTACCAGTCGAGTCAAGCGATGAAAAATAATGGAAGTAAGAAAGTTGTATGAGTACCTTAAAATGATTACAAGCAATTAATTGTGCTCGATACGTGGTCATCGTTTAGTATTACTGTATAACACTGTGAGAATTTATCAACATAAATTTTACCCACAACGGAATTATACTCTACCACAGAACACAAGTTCTATTCTTATATTAAGGCGAAATGCCTTCCATAATTTTTCCGAACCCGCAGTTATGGCTTTTAAAAACGATAAGCGAACCAGAACTGCATGGTGGTACTAAAGACTAAAAAGTTATCCCCCTCCAGTCATTGTTAGCAGGTTTTCCGTGAACTAGCCTTTTCTAAGCATTTACTGTGAAAGTGATGTGTTAAGCATCGCATCGTCTGTTCACGAATCACATAGTTTCTCCCTACATCACCTTCTGTCTTGATAAATAAAACTTTCCACCGATTGTAAAACTGCACACACTTCTTATCTATTTCACAGCTTCCAAATGAGTCTTAAACCTGCTTAAACACGCGTATTCTCAGCAAAGACTTTGCTTATGTGCACTGGGAAAACAGAAAGGATAGTTTTGCACTTAACTAGACATACCACGGAAAGCGGAGATTTCTATTGTGGAGAAATTCAATGAGGAAATCCTTATGATGAATGCACGCAGCTTATTTCCGCGTTCTTAAAATCAATTCTCATATTGGTTATCGAAATACTTTGAAATATCAGAGAAATAAGATAGGACAGAAAGAACATTTAGTGTCAGTAGTAAAATGCTTGTTACTCTGACAGGAGAGAACATTTTATTTGATTATATTATTATATCATTATGCTCACAATCAAGTATGTGAGAGTGATGTACAAACATAATCATAGTGTTGATTATCGTACTTCAGTCAAAGTAAGCATTTTATTGGCGAATTCGCATTATGCACACTTTATGTTGTTACCATTAGATCTTAACTACACACAGTGTTTTTTTTATCGGAAATGAATGAATATAATTGAATGTGTTATAAACATTATTGCATTCAATTTAATAACATACTCAGTCCGACCATTGTACAGCTTAACTGTAAGTTCATTAACAATATTTATCACTGACATTATTAGACGTTTTATTTGAATATGTTGAAGAGATTGTTTGAGATAGTGTTGGATAAGCAGATTGATAATAATGGAATGTGTGATAAGTGAAGATGAGATTGGAACAGTATTGTAACAGGATTTCAACAAGTGGCGTTCAAGCCAATAGAGCAAACTTCAGTCTCAGTTTGTGTGTAACTGACTTGAATTTCACCCACAATTTCCATTCAACTTATGCACCAAGTTTTGTATACAACTTTGGGATAAATAACACGTTATGTTCTTCCTCGAGTAAAATTCGATATTTCGAAGACCATATACTCTTTTCAGATTTCCACTGACACTCTACTTTGTAAATATGCAGTAATTCTGGTAAGCAAATTCTTATTCACAGTCGATTACTCGGAACTGACTGCACCCACTTCATTGAATGAGATGTGAGATGCGTTTCTCATGTGCCCATGTGTTGTGTTGAATCACTCTGTATATGAAAATTGAATTTTGTTAGTTCACTGATTTCAATGTGATGTACTTCTGAAAACATCGTGTTCTAAATTAGCTGGTGCATGTTTACAGAGTACACGGAAACTCGTTGAACTGTTTAAGCCCCTTAGTGAAATACTATTACAGAATAAGTATTACATTCTACACTGTGATTCGTTGAACCTCTTCTTATTTTCTATCATTCCTTGAACTAAGAATCACTTCATGCATCATCTCTTACTGTGTCAAAGTTCACAAGAAGAATTCCAATATAGAAATGACAGGCTTCATGATGAATGTCACAATGTTCATTAGGTGTGAGATAAACCTGTCATCAATTATGGGGAAGTGGAGGACATTTCGTTTCCTATTTTTCATGGAATATATAATAAAATATCAGTCTTATACATATAATGCCAATGTGGTTAATGAAATCACAGTTCAGGCGTGTGAATTAGTCGACAATAATCGAGGTTATCCGAAAAGTGATGAGTCCGGGATGAATTCATTCACGTGATTTTGTAATCTAGGTATCCATTCATCGGGTGACAGTATTTATTCAGTTATGATACTGTCAGTGGAAGTTGTGACGATATAAGTGGATTCATTTGTGCAAGGACATTTAAAGCAGACAGCTGGATTCAAATTACTATTCAATAGTTATAAGTAAGAGATTATGCTTCACCTTTCTGATACCTCTATCTGATATCTGTAAATTCAGAATACTTTTATATTCTGAACTTGCAGATATATGAAAATAGCATTGAGCGTATATCGACGCAAGTTATAAATGAACAGCAGTGCGTTCACTCATTTGATCAATTATGCAACTTATCCAGTTAAAGGCTTCCCGAAGTAGATATAAGAAATGTATACACAAAGAAATATATACCTAAATGTTAGTTAAGAGTAATTAAAGTGTCTTTTTACCAACAATTATTTCTTATAAGAAGCAGAAGTCAAGCTTGAAATTATTTGAATTTCAGTTCGAAAAGCAACTTGTTGGATTGAATCACAATAAAGAAAACTTATTTTAAGGAAATATTCACACGGACGCCATCGACTTCAATCTCCTGATAATCTTTTAATTTACCCACAGAGGTTTTCAATTGTTAATTGTACAACGGAGGTGATTTACGAATATTGTTGCTTGTTGTTTACAATTTGAAAACAATAATACGGACTTTGGCGATACTGACAGTCACGAACTTTTAACGAAGCCACATCCTTCAACATTCCTCTATATATGTAAGGTGGATAATTCTCACAACCTCGAATTACAGCATCACAATGAGTACAGGGTAGGTAAAACACATTTCATGTTCCGTAATAACCTTTGTTTGTATTTTAGACTCAGCATTGCCTTCTTAATTGTTCTGTGAGTTTCTTTGTAAACACGTTGTTGGATTTTACCAGTACAGTGTTGAATTCCTTCTTAATATGCTTCTGTTACTATTATTGTCACCAGTAAACAAATTTCTACTCACCCATACATGCATATTCTGTCAACTTCATCCAGACGCAAGATCAGCCCTCCACTACGCAACTATTCATCATGAATATGTACATGACACTGATGTTGTGAGACATGGTGCTGATTCATTCAAATACTTACGATTGTCAGTCAGTGATGAACTGAAAATATCCATACCTCTCAATTCATGAATGGCTTAGAAATGTGCCTAATACTGTCAGTCATAATGTGACATCTAGACTACTATTGTATTCGCTTTATTTTTGTTTCAGATTATGCGGAATCTGTTTGTATGCTGCTTTACTGCTAGTTGAGAAGCTGAGAAACATGTATCCAATTAACTATGTTATATTGGGGTTGGTGGTAAGTCGAAATATGCGTAGACAATTCAGTGGGACTGGCATATACAACCTCTGTTAGTAAAATGTTACCTAGAATGAATATTGTAATATTTCTGAATCGGCTTCCTTGAGGAAAGCTGACTACAAATGTTTTAGTCGTCGCTGTTAAAATTCATGGTGAAACACTGTTCAGTTTTCACATAATTCTATAGTTTTCTGCATTTCCTGTTTCGTTGTAAATGATTTGATCATTTAAATGTCATGTGTTATTGAAATTCACCTCACTACCACGATAGTGATCACACTGTGAGGCGTCGTTCTGAGTAATTCGCCTCTCTCACCAAGAAATATACAACAGAAATCGGTCATATTCTCTTTTTCTGTATTCATCCACTGAAGAGTATTTATAATAATTATTTGCTTTATTCGAGAAACAGTATTCACAGAAAGAACTTATGTCTCACTTAAAGTAATTCAAATAAATGCAATATACTGCATCGGAAATAAGATAAGCTCGATAATTCAATCAGAATTGCTGTAATCGCTTTTCCAATTTGTAGGTAATTTTATTGTCTCACTGTGAACTCTGTCACCTTTAGCTACCAGTCATAGAATCACCTAATGGCACAGAGAAGTGGACTACGATTCCCTCATAGTCCGTTATTCTGATCACCTGTTCGATATAATTTCGTGAAAGACTCAACACAAAAAATAGTCGGAAATCCACAATCATTTTACCTGAGTAAATAGTAAACCAAAACCGAACTTTTCACTTGATAAGAAGATGCGTTGATTACCTTATTTTTTTTATAAAATGAGAATAATATATTAATATTTCAGTTTTCAATCGCTTGCCCACTCAGGTTGTTTTACTGTTTGTCGGTGCGGGATATGTTTATAGTGGCCCAGTACCTCTTGGTGTCTCAATTGGTGTAACCCTTGTGGTCTCAGTGATAATAATATTTACCTGTTGGAATTTGAATAATCTGACAGCGAAGGGATTCAACGTATTCGCTACAGTAGCAGCTGGACTTGCTTTCGTGGGATTTCTTCTCCTTATCCTCAAGGCGATATATAAAACGGTAATCATTTATAAGTAGTCTTGTAATTCATTTTTATGTTAAACATGTCGTCTTAACCTTTAGATAACTGAGTTCATGCATCTTTAATCACAAAATGAATAACTTGTATGACAAACAAATATACGAGTCTGTCTGTTGAAGAGAGCGGTCTGTTTCAGGTGATCTTTTAAGATATTTGCTTATAGACTGGTTAATTGAATATTTCCTTGTGGTTGGCCGTTAGTAAGCAGTAAACTCAACTTGTCCAAATGACATAATATGATCAACTCTCTTGCACACGATATCCCAATTAACTTTGATAAAAACAGGCCATCAGTGTGCATCAAGTGAAACCTTATCGTTCGATCAAAGCTAGAATGAATATATCTGCAAGATAAATAAGGCCCAGCATTGATTCCGTGAACTGTTAACGGCTTCAAATACATAATGCATCGAAATAGTCAAACTCACCAGATGGTCTTGCTCCATATGGAATTCTATCAGTCAACTTTTCAATATGGTCACCAATCTAGAATTGTTGCCAACACAATGCCCTTCCGACTGACGTTAGGTGACTGAAACCAATCGGTCGGAAGCCCGGAATTCAAGCATACCAATAGAATCCATCCTGTGCAACATCTCACAACAAAAACAGTTCGAAGTGTTCTAATTGTGATGCCCCACGGTTTTGGAAAGGAAGGGAAGACATTCTTCTCCCCTCTCATATTCAGAATGAATCATTCACGTACTGTCGACATGTCATATACTCGCCTTTGTGCAATTATTTCTGAGTACTACTCAACTGTTTCGTTTCAGTAATTCCTTACCTATATACGTGTCAACTTCAAAAGTGTAACTAGATTATGCGAAATAGAAAGCGCAAGTTCTTAAAGATAATCCCTTGACAATAGTTTAAGGACAAAGTTGTCTTTCTTAAACACCTGATTAAGTGGAATAGATTATCGAAAATCAGAGATGAATTGAATGCATTCCAATTTCCACGTTAATTCATCAAACAAAACTAACTTTTCACTTCATTCTTCGAATATTCTTAAATATTCCCGGTCACTCATCCGACATTGTAATTTTTCTTCGCATTCTAGATGGTATTATCAATTCTGGCGGGTGTATTTTTGTGTTCTGCAGCAATTTTTGTAAGTTTCTCATCATCTATAGAGTCAAAACTCACTTTAATTTATTGAAGTGTTGATCATTTTGTTGTTTGTATTTGTCAATTTTGTTTCACATCAAATTCAGCCTTTCTTACATGGAGTTCAATTCTTCACTAATGAAATAATTTAAAGCATTCACACATTGTGTGATGAGTTACTTTTTGCACTGACTAAGCAACCGTTCTGAGTCTTTTTCAATGTTATGAACAAGCACAACTACAAATGTGTAGTGCACTCTACCATGCTAATTCTTCCATAACTATTAATATCGTGCGTTGATGTAACAGCGGCTAGGACTCTCGTCGACCATGCACAAGTTCCGCGGTTCGATTCCCCGTCGACGCACACTTGATATCTATGGTCGGCCTGCTAAATTCGGGTTACCGATATCACACGCTGAAAAGTTCATACTTCTACCAAAATACTGTGTGGAATCAAGCTATAATAAAAAAATAATAATGAGTTGAATGTTGGTATAAATATTGCAGGGTGAAGGAAAGTTCATCAAGAGAGATATGCATTTTGCACTACTCAGTTACTACAATGATGATTATTACTATTATTTTTCATTGGCAGTCGAAAGTAACAGTGGTCTTCAGGAGTACATCCCCATCCGACTCAGTTAGCCTTTATCCAAAATGGGTGGCTAAATGACGGCCTTTAGGCTTTTGATTCTTCCTCGTATCACTATTGCACGACAATGCCGTTGCTTCCCATTTACGTTTCACTTGAAAACCTGACGACTATGAGATATTGCAAATCGGTCTACACAGAGGATATATAATCTATCTGCATTCTCATATGAAAACTTGTTGAGATTCAATTTCTGGACGGTTGATATGCTTCCAAAGTTCCTAGTCACTGAAATTTTTTATTTAACCAAATGGTCTAGCCAGCGAAAGCATCTATTGATTATATTCCTTTGTCAGTTTCAAGTGATCTGGGTGATGCCTATTTCAAGTCTCTGAATCATATGAAATCACTCACTTGACAATATTATTGCAAATTTTAGTGTTGTCCACCCCTCCTGAGCGGTACAGAACCACACTCTAATTTCAAAGTAATGCTCCCACAACCAATCGAATTCTGTCTAGTTCTCATAAGTGTCGATAGTACTGATTCATGGACCTAATTATCTACGTGTCATTTATACATGTATAACTGTGTTTCTCTTACCCCACTTATTGATTTTTGGCCTAATTTTCTCTCACGCTATTTGCGACCCTTGAAATCCTATTGGTTGTTCACTGTCTTAACTTATCAATGACATTACTGATTCTCAAGGTCATTTAAAACATATATATATATATATGTAAGCGGTATCAATACTTTTTGACGTTGTTTTGAGACAGTTAAAGCTATCCTACTAACGCCCAGTCTATTTTTCTGTCTTTGAGGCCCGGCGGTATTGTTTTTGTTGTTGACGTGAGATTAGGACAGATTATTCAGCGCATTAAGTTAGTATTCGCTCATAGTCTACTAGGCAGTAATTTAAGTCAGAACAACCACCAGATCATAAAAGTTAGGGAGTCGACATTCCTTACATGCCTACAATTCATAGTAGACAATATCTGTTATTATATTTCAATGATCTTGATCAACTTTTTTCGTCTCGCTGTGTCCATCATAATTCCTACCTTTCCTACTTATGCTCGAAATTGTTAGTTTCCATTCATATCATTTCAAGTTTGTGAGAAATAAGTTGTTGGCAAAATTCAGATATTTTAGGATATTTGCTACAAATGCCTGTCACCATTCCTCACTTGATCCCATGAACTACATTTGGGGAGATCATCAGTGGTAGTCGGGGGCTGTATTTTATATCTCTGTCATGACCAAACTCTCCATATTACTGTCCATTTTGAATCATTTGAATCACATTTTTCAGCATTCACCGAATTGCACTTCACAGTGCCAAAGAATTGTCTTAGTGCTGTCGGACTTGTTTTCTAAGTCAACCAAGTAGAGGTGCAGAGGTGACTACCACTCAAAGGTCTGTTCGTTGACAATGCATTATGCTTTACTCTGATCCACACATGGATTGGTCTTCTGAATCCATGCTGCTCAGCTCAAAATACTCTTTGCAGAATCATGTGGCCTAATATATTGTTTGTAGTGAACATGGTTCCATGCCAGATATTGCTTGATTTTAAATCGCTCCCCCTGTTGCTGGTTTGTTAAAGTACACTCTTTTCACCTACATATTACGCACTTTGTGCCATGATTATGCCTGATGAAATCTCTACCTACATTCACAGTGCCAACACGGATTTTTATCTGGCCGTGCTATTTTACTGGCCTTTAGTGACATTGCTATCTCCATGACTCCAGTTTTCATCGTGGGTTGTTATTCACCAACAGTTTCCTTCCTCGGCCAATTGCAGGTGCTGGTCAATGCAACAGTTCTTTGAACTGCTCTGGTCAACGTCTCCTCTATTCCATCTATTTGATAATGTTCTGTCACCCACCACCTCCCACTGGTTTCACTTGCATCGATCTCTCCACAGATGTGGATCTCATTATCTCATATAGTATTGTGAGTTATCTGATACTTGCAGTCTGTTCCGCTACAGCCGATAGTGTGCTGTGAAAGACTGTTTCTCCTTTTAAAGAACATTTCTGTACCACCACTGTTCAGTGTCTTTTACGTGGTACTCAGTTTTAGCTTTAGAATTCTTCCATATGTGTTTCATAGATCATGTTGTGTAATATGCCTGATGTTTTCAATGTTATATAAAGACGTGATGTTAAAGAATACCTTCGATTTCCCTATGAGTGTAAACATATCAGGTTTATTTCTAATCCCCGCATTTCGCTTTTTTCAGATTTTGTTCTGCGTGGTATGTGGACTAAGAAAACGCCTTCGGAAAGAAAGATCCATGTTCGATACGATGTTGGACTTTTTAAATATATACGTTGCGGTTATTGCAATGTTCGCAGCAATATCTATTTGCTTTTCTTGAGAAAGAAAGGAAGTATACATATACAGAGTGTATACTTTGCATTCATCGTGTGAATTCCTTGGACATTTGATGTAATTCTACATTTTCTCTAATACCTCATTTATTTCCATTCATGTTAACAAAATGTTTTGATGTTTATAAAGCATCAATGGAATAAGTTCACACATTTTCTACTCTAATTAGCAGAAGCTCAGCATGAAGATCGTAGTTTAACGAAATAGCAACGACTGAAATGTGATCGTATAAATGTAACAGTTAATACTGAAACACCCTGATCATTTGTAATGTTTCGATGAAGAATCGAGAAGTTTGTGTTAATGGCTTCGCACTAATCTCCAGCAACATATTCGCTGAAAAATTACTTCGTAATATGCATGTAAGAGTTGAGAAGTGATTTAAAGTCTTTTAAGACCGTAAGCTAAATATCACTAATTTGTATGTTTGAGCAAAATATAGACGTGATCAGTCGAAGTTTAGGGAATGTGTGCTATTGTGGTGAGAGCTGTCTACTAGCCAAATTGGTAGACAGTAATTTACGTCAATATTTACGTTCCCAAGATTTGTCGTGAGAAAATGTGAACAAAGATTGATTCAAAAACGACCACAGCAGACTTTGCGTAGGCGGATGCAGTTAACATATAGGGGATTTGACATTCAAGAAACAGTCACAAATAGATGAAAGATTAACTTTACGTGAGAAACAACCAATCGGAAGACTGTGTTTGTTTGTTTAAATATCCATAGTAATGTACATGAAATATATAAATATGCGTTGATTTCCTTAATAAAGGATCTGTTGCCTGACTCTTGCCTTCTGTCGTTACACTATCTCTGATTACGTCCGTGTCAAACTACAACAAGCTTGGATATTGTGCGATGTGTCGAT